ATATAATGTTAATAAGTGTTGCTTCTCCAGGATGTAGGAGAGTAGGAATTGGATGGCTACAAGGAAAATTTCTGAAACATACTTTGTGTCTTTAAAATTTTGTGCATGTATTACCCACTTTTCAGAATTCTGAAATGGAATGGGCTTCTTTATTAGAGAGCAGCTTAGTGTACAAACCCCCACAGGTACAAATTCTTAATAAGGTATAAAGAACTAATACAAAACATTTTTCTGTGAGTAGGTCTTAATGAGAATACAGGGATGGAATAAGCTGATAGGGTACAGGAGGAAGAGGCTGAGAATTCCCTCCCCCCAAACTTTCTTAACCTCATGATTTTACCGAAGGCTAGTTTTGTCCTTTGGGGGCTTTCAGCAGTCTAGTGTACTAATAAATGTTGTTTCCTGCCTACCCAGGAGCCAGGCCTGCCCCTGATCTCTGCTTTGAGATGGTGAATGTAGCAGGAGACGCCTTTGGAAACTGTGGAAAGGACATGAATGGTGTATACAAGGAGTGCGACTTGAGGTGAGGACTGTAGGGCAGACCACGTGAGACGACGGGTGACACAGCAATTCCTGCTCTGTCCTTACTCACTGATGCCCAGCTCAGCAGCATGGCTGGCTCCAGAGCTGGACCTTTAAATAAATCAGTTGAAGTCAGCCATCTATTCTTGGTCTGTTGTTTGACAATGTCCCAATCAGCCCCAAGGAAGTAGGTGCGGGGGCAGGTGTCAGTGCTTCCTAGAAATCTGATTGGGCTTCCTTTTGGGACCACCTTATAGTAGAGTAGGGAATATACCCCTTTGGGTCCTTTCTGCAGGGTGCTAATTATACCCTCATTTAAATAGCCCATCATTCATTCACTCATTCATTCATTCCAACTAACCATCCACCCACCCATCCATCCATTCATCCCTTTATCCACCCACCCACCCACCTACTCATCTATGCATCCATTCAGCCATCTATCCACTATCTTTTTTTTTCCAGTTTCTTTCTTTATTATTGTTGTTATTATTCTTTTTACATTCTAAGATGTTGTGGAGCAGTTGGGGGGGAGGGGGATAGGGGAAGAAGAAAGAGGATAGGGTGGGAGGAGGAAGGACGAGGGGAGGCATGGTTGAGGTCCGTGGTGTCCCCCCTCGTTCCAGCAGGGGAGCCTGGTGGGCTTCTGGCAGTGGCTCGGTCTTCACTGGGCTGGATGCAGATGTTGAGGGGTATCCACTAATTATTGTTGTTATTATTCTTTTTACATTCTAAGATGTTGTGGAGCAGTTGGGGGGGAGGGGGAGAGGGGAAGAAGAAAGAGGATAGGGTGGGAGGAGGAAGGACGAGGGGAGGCATGGTTGAGGTCCATGGTGTCCCCCCTTGTTCCAGCAGGGGAGCCTGGGGGGCTTCTGGCAGTGGCTCGGTCTTCACTGGGCTGGATGCAGATGTTGAGGGGTATCCACTATCTATTGAGGGTTTACTATATATAAGATACTGTGCTGAGTGTGTAACTTTTAATTAACAATATAGTGTGATAGTGGTATAGTGTGGTAATCAGCCACCCAACCCGACTTAATGGGTCATAGTGATTTCCCAAAGAAAGTTATGCCTTTGCTGAGATCTGGAGCAATTATCTAGGAGAACAGGGTTGGGAGTGGTGCTGGTGCATAGGAGACTGTTGTAGGCAAAGATACAGATAGAGAAAAACTGGCAGTTGGAAGAACTGATACAAAGTATAATATTGGGGTGCAATGGAGAGGGGACTGTGAGAAATGGGCCTGGATAGTTAAGCAGGGACCAGATTGTGAAAAGCCTTGAATGAATGGCTAGGGGAGTTTGGACTTTGGCCTAAGAGCAGTATGGAAATTAGACTCCTCTGGGGCAATATTGGAGGCAGGAAATCAGTTTCTTGCAGTCCAGGTGAGGGAGGATGGTGGTGTGAATTAGGGTAGATACATCAGACAGAAGATTGACAGGGCTTAACAATTGTGTGAACCCAGGAGTGAGGTAGAGTGGGGAGTTGGAAATGACCCCAGGCTTCTGGCCAGAGGATCTGGGTGGATGATGATGTAAAGACCATAAGGGGACATATTGCTCAGGTCAGGCAGTTGTCCTTGAAGTAAGGACTTTCCAGTACAGTTCCCTGGCCTATATCTGTGCAGGGACAGGGAGCCTACTCCCTCCCCTTGGTCTAAGTCTGCATGCAGTCTCTCCTGGTGGGTTTCTAGAGCACACTTACTGCCCTAGGCCTTTATCCCACACTACCCAAGCCTGCTGTCTCCGCCAAGAAAGACTGAAGCTCTGTGATGCTCCGGCTGTTCTCCTGCCTCTGATTCCATCTCCTTCCCTCCCTCTCTCTTGGGCCCAGAGATGCCAAGTGTGGGAAGATCCAATGTCAGACCTCTGAGATGCGGCCTCTGGAGTCCAATGCGGTGCCCATCAACACTGACATCATGATGAATGGGAAGCAGATCAAATGCCGGGGCACTCATGTCTACCGAAGTCCTGAAGAGGAGGGTGACATGCTGGACCCAGGCCTGGTCATGACTGGGACCAAGTGTGGCTACAACCATGTGAGTCCCTTCTCCTGGCCTCGCTCAGGAGCCAGGCTGCAGAGAGGAGCTCTGGAGGGAGGATGCCTGGGTTCAAATCCCAGCCTCTCTAACCTCTGAGCCTCAATGGCTTTTTTATAAACACGTATAGTGACAGCAGGCACCCTCTTCATAGAACTGTTGTAAGGATTAAAGGAGACAATCCCTGTAAATCACTTAGATGGGCTAGCTGTTACCATTTTCATCCTCAATGGTTATCATATGAATTAAAAATGGACTAGAAGTCCAGGAAGCCTGGGAAAAATAATGTCAACTCTTTCACAGAGTTAATTGTGATAATGAAAATATAAAAAACATATGAAGCACTTGGTATAGTACCTGGCAAAGTAGGCTGCTTTCGCCATCATTATTTTTAGGTATAAAATTGAAATTAGGACATATTAGTATACAGTTAAGTAATGAAGATATAATCAGCATAATGTATCATAATGTATTATATAATGTAATAACATATTTAATATTACATTGTTAAATATAGTATTTTAACAATATAAAATTTATCATTTTCTCCCTATTTACAAAAACAATGGCAGAATTTAGTTAACTACTGTCCTGTCCTTGGTTGTTTTCTGTTTTTCACTGTAACTAATAACCAGAAGTGGGCTGCCCTTTTGGGTCCCCATATTTTCTGAGCACAAAACCCTAGTCCCCTAATTTCCAACCAGTGTCCCTTCTGTTGTGCCAATGATTCTGCTTCCTCCTCGCTACAGATTTGCTTCGAGGGACAGTGCAGGAACACCTCCTTCTTTGAAACCGAAGGCTGTGGGAAGAAGTGCAATGGCCATGGGGTACGTGTGCCCATGTGCCCGGGTTCTGGGCTCCTCTACACTGGGGCCCTGGGGCAGGCTCTGTGGGAGGCCAGAGCTCTCCAGAGTGCTGACGCCCTTTCCCTTCCCTCCCTCTAGGTCTGCAACAACAACCAGAACTGCCACTGCCTGCGGGGTTGGGCCCCTCCCTTCTGCAACACGTCTGGCCCAGGGGGCAGCATCGACAGCGGGCCCATGCCCCCCGACAGTGAGTCCCAGCCTGCTCAGGGCTTCTGCCTGCCTTTGTGAGAAGGGATGGGCATTGCAGGGGCAAGTGGCTTGTTGTAGAGTATCCACGCCCAGTCACTCTTCTCCTGTCCTTTCTGCTGAGGAGAATGAACCTGCCTAGTAGAGCAAGAGATTAAGAGAGACTGTAGGTCATTGAATATTCACACCCCTTTTGAAGGGGTGGTGACTAGACCTTTTGGGGCACTTAAAAATAATCATGAACCTGGGGCACATTGTGGCGGATTAGATTTCCTTAGATGAACAAAGGTTAAAATGAGGAGTCAGACACTCAGAAAAGTTTAGTTTTTTAGTAGATATCTCAGGGTTTCTAGCCCTGTGGGTGGTTTCCAAACCTTTTTGTTTTTAATAGTAGCAAAGTACTTTAAAAAAAGTCTTTCAAGGAAGAACTCCCAATATATAAAACAGATAAAAGTAGTGTTTTATTGGTGTAAATATATTTGTACATTTAAATTTATAATCTGTGAGAACATTGAGGCAGTTTTCATGAAACCAAATGTGAAATTGCGGGTTATAGGTGAGGGTTCTAGTCTCAAATCAATCTGAGTTGCAAAAATGTCGGTTGCTTTGTGTCCAGGAAAATCATGAGTCAGGCTGAAAACTAGTGGCAAATGATAACAAAGCTTAAACTGCTTGCCTTGAAAGGGACTCTGTTCAATTAAACAGAAGTGTCTGGAGAAGCTTTATAATATAAGGTCTGCACAAAGCAAGTTGACCTGGCCGTTTAAGCTAATATTAGTGGTTTCCCAGTGGTGCATAATGTGCGCTTTTTATTATAATTTGTAGGTTAAAATAAGTAATACAAATTAAATGCAAATCAAATGTTTACCGAAGAATCAGGAATACATTGTTTGCAATCCACTGCCATAGCCCAAACAGCGTCTAAATCTCTTGCTTGGCTTCTGTTTCTGGAAGGTGTTGGACCTGTGATCGCCGGTGTGTTCACAGCCATCTTTGTGCTGGTGGCCCTTATGCTGGTGTACTACTGCTGTAAACAGAACAACAAACTTGGCCAACTCAAGCCCTCGGCCCTCCCTTCCAAGTTGAGACAGCAGTTCAGGTATGACAGGGTGTCCTGAAGCACGCAGGGTCCACTTCCAGATCTTAAAGCTCTCCATGGGCAGTACCAAGTGAAAGTGGTGGTGGTGGTGGGTCTAATTCAGGGAAGATGAAGCAAGGTAACTCTGCCCTCCCCCCTTCTGCCATGCTCTGTGACCGGGGCAGACATGACTAGTTAATCTCACTCTGAATACTCTGTACTCAGCCTGCTCGTCACTTCTGAATCCTTCTTAGCAGAATGCTCCCAACCAGTTCAAGTCGGAATATGAAATAAAAACTCATTTGCCTTCCTTTATCTAATTGATATATTCCCCATTTTAAAGAACAGGAAGTTGAGGCAACGGAGAACAGACGACTAGCTCAAGTCAATCACAGGGGTGGCTGGACGTCCCCTCAAGACAGACTCACTTTTTTTTTTAAGTGATTTATTCCTTTGGACATTGAAGATGTAAAGTCTCCAAGTCTCCTGTTAAGTTACACTTGTTCTGGAGGGGATGTTAAATCCCAGGTCTTTCTGGATCTATGTCTGAGGGGGACTGGTTGATGGCTGTTGATATCTTTATGTCTCCTTAGGGGAGAAAGATCTTCAAAGGTTGAAGAAAAAGTGCTGAGAAAACTCGGCTTTGTATAGGTCAACTCTCTTTTCTCGAGAGTTCTCCTTGGGCCACATACAAGTCTCCTTACCTAGGAAGACGGGATTTGAGAGGACCAGTCCCACTTCCTCTAGAGCAGACTGGGGGAAGATGTAGCTGCTTGCTGGCCATGCTTGGGTCAAAAGAACTGAGTCGCTGACCTGTGCTGAATATCCCCCCTGACCCCCCTCTCCCATTCCTTGTTTCTAGCTGTCCTTTCAGGGTGTCTCAGAACAGTGGAACTGGCCATGCCAACCCTACTTTCAAGTTGCAGACACCCCAGGGCAAACGAAAGGTAAGGGCTTTGCACCATTGGATTTGGCTACTTTTCCTTCCTCCCTCAGGACTGTGCTGGGTTTTCTAAGAGCCTCTGTGGGCCCATGGGATTGGTAATAAAAGCCATTTTATTGGCTTGAGAGGCATGTCAGTTAGTTCTGATATCCCCCAATGACTTTAAGGGTTGTGTCTGACCTCTGGGATCCTCTGGGTTTGTAGCAGGTCAGCATGTCTATACTCCCCTCAACCTCTGTTCATCTCAATGAGACACGCAAGGGCATCCCTGAGTTTTTAAGTGTATTGAAGATTCCTTGTCCAGGCATTCCTTGTTTTGTGCATACAGGTGACCAACACCCCTGAAACCCTACGGAAGCCCTCCCAGCCTCCTCCGCGGCCCCCTCCAGACTATCTGCACGGCGGGTCCCCACCTACACCATTGCCAGCACATCTCAGCAGGGCTACTAGGGACTCCCCAGGGGCCAGATCCCAAGTTGAGAGAAAGGAGTCATCCAGGAGGCCTCCCCCAAGTCGTCCAGTGCCCCCTGCACCAAATTGCATCCTCTCTAAGGTGAGTGGGTTCTCAGCAACCTTGGGCTAGTAGCATTGCCTTTAATGCCACCTGTCATGGGTAATTTCAGAGGCTGGAAGGATGGAACTTCTTGGGTCCTGAGCTGATTGCCTTGGGAGCACACAGAGGGTTAGAGCAATGAGCATGGGGAAATGTACCCCGCAGGCAGCCCCGAAATCACAGGACATTTCCTCCCTGGCTGGCCTATTTTATGACAAACCACTATCCCCCACCCCTTCCTCTTGGAATTAACTCTTTCAGTTCTCCGTGCTCTTTTGCCCTCTAGGTCTTTGCAAATGCTGTTTTTTCTGCCTGGTATGCTCCTTTTGCCCTTTGCACAGCCAGCTCCTGTTCATCCTCAGATCTGTTCTTAGATGCCACTTCTCCCAAGAAGCCTTCTTTGACCCCTGAGTTCTGAGTTTGGTACCCCTGTACTTCTCTCGTCATACTATTTATTCTATCAAATTGCAGCTGTCGGTATCTTCCAGTAGTAAGAGTCTTACCGAGGGATGATCCCCAATGTCTTGCTCATCTGAGGGGCAGGTTAAGGGGGAGGGGCCTCTGGGAGCTGAGAGTGGGGTCTAGGCTCTTGGCCTATTTTATGACAAACCACTATCCCCCACTCCTTCCTCTTGGAATTAACTCTTTCAGTTCTCCTTGCTCTTTTGCCCTCTAGGTCTTTGCAAATGCTGTTTCTTCTGCCTGGTATGCTCCTTTTGCCCTTTGCACAGCCAGCTCCTGTTCATCCTCAGATCTGTTCTTAGATGCCACTTCTCCCAAGAAGCCTTCTTTGACCCCTGAAGTCTGAGTTTGGTACCCCTGTACTTCTCTCGTCATACTATTTATTCTATCAAATTGCAGCTGTTGGTATCTTCCAGTAGTAAGAGTCTTACTGAGGGATGATCCCCAATGTCTTACTCATCTGAGGGGCAGGTTAAGGGGGAGGGGCCTCTGGGAGCTGAGAGTGGGGTCTAGGCTNCTCATCTGAGGGGCAGGTTAAGGGGGAGGGGCCTCTGGGAGCTGAGAGTGGGGTCTAGGCTCTCGACTGTCACCACTGGTGCTCGTGGAAGCAGAGCCACCACCCAGTGATGTGTCTGTGTTCTGATGGCACCAGCTGTACCTGACAGAAGTTCCCCCAGTGCAGACACGGGGGTTTCAGGGTCAGTGGCCAGGTGCGTTGCCTTCTAGAACTGGCCTTTGTGTTTCAGGTGTGACCCCTCAAGTGAGACTGCTTTTCTTGGGCATAGTCCAGAGGGCTCCGTGGGCGCCAGGCTGTCTCTGGTCCTACGGACTGTGGACTTAGCTGCAAGCTTTGGAGAGTCTCTAGGACTAGGCAGTGTTACGGTTTGGCAGAGCTGAGAGCATTAGGTCTGGTTCTCTGATGTGAAGCTGCTACTTTCTGATTTCTGGTGTATGAGGCATTGGAATGGAAAAATCCAGGCAGAAGGGGAGGGGAAGAATTGACAGGGAGAGAGAAAGGGAGGAAGGAAGCAAGAGGAAGGAGGAACAGAGGAGGTGGAGAGTGTTTCAGCTTGCCGGAGCTGCCATAACAAAACACCGCAGACTGAGTGGCTTCAACAACAGAAATTCATTCCCTCACAGTTCTGGAGGCTGGACATCCGAGATCAAGATCCTGTCAGGGGAGGTTTCTCCTGAGGCTCCTCTCCTTGGCTTGCAAATGGCTGCCTTCTTACTCTGTCCTCACATGGCCTCTGCCACGCCGAGTGTCTCTGTGTGTGTCTGAATTGCCTCTTCTTATAAGGATGCCAGGTTGGGTAAGGGCCCACCCTAATGGCCTCATGTTAACTTAACCACCTCTTTAAAGAGCGCCAAGTGTCTCTGTGTGTGTCCGAATTGCCTCTTCTTATAAGGTGCCAGGTTGGGTAAGGGCCCACCCTAATGGCCTCATGTTAACTTAACCACCTCTTTAAAGACCTTCTTTGTAAATAGGGGTACATTCTGAGATACTGGGGGTTAGGGCTTCAACATAAGAATTTTGGGGGGTGGGAGTGGGGTGCACAATTCAGTCCATAGCAGAGACAGAGGAGAGGAAGGGAGAGAGTAACCATGTAGAGACGAGGGTGTAGCGGGAGACCAGAGGTGCCAGAGGAGGGGGAGATGGAGGGAGTGTGTCGGGGAGCACTGCATTCAGACCACTGTTCTAAAAACCCACACCGGAGGCTTGTTCAAACATGGGGCAGCCTCACCCCATGTCACCCCGAGGTGCCAAGCACTAAGTTAGGGGGTATCAGGGTCAATGGGAATGCAGTTGGGTGGGAGAGATGGTGGGGTCTCCATGTGTTGCCTCTGACTCTCCCTGGTGGCTGCTGGCAGGAGTCCTGAGGACAGGGGGCCACCCGGCCCATGGCAGGTGCCCGGCACACGGATCCCAAGCACAGCTTCTCCTGGGCCCCGGGGCCCAAGCAGGGGTTTCTCCACGGCAGTGGGAGGTAGCTGCTCTGGGGAGGGGGAGTTGCTGAAGGGATAAGATCTGGCCAGCTGCCTGCCTCCTCGAATCCATTCGGAGAAGTGAGTTATCGTTACCCTCGTTTCTCATGGAGGTCGCTGAGTCTCACGGGGCTGAAGGGACTCACCTATGATCCCACGGTTTGTGAGTGGAGGGGCCAGGACTTGAACCCAGCTGAATGAGACATCCCCCTGCCCTGGGGGCACTCACAGTCTCTAGTCTGCCGACCACATCTGAGCTCCACCACCTCCTGGTTGGGCAATGTGGACCACCCTGGAGAGATGGGGGGTGAAACGTACCTCTTCTGTTCTTTCCACAAATATATGAGCTTCTGCTCTGTGCCAGGCACTGGCGAGCAAAGCAGATGGCAGCTGTGCCTCCCAGAGCCCACATTCTGCTGGGGAAGAGGCACTGGGATCCATGCAGTTCCAACAGTGATATGTGCCGTGAAGGAGAGGTTCAGTGTGCTTGGAAAACCAGTAATGGGGAGAATCGACCTAGTCTGGGAAATCCAGGAAGGCTTCCCTGAGGAGGTGACATTTGAGCTGTGACATGAAGGAGGAACAGGAGTTCACCAGGCTGTGAGAGGTAGGGAAGGAAAGAGCTTTCCTGGTCCTGGGACCCACTAGCAGGGAGGCTCTGTGATGGGAGAGAGTCCTGCAGGTTGGAGCAACTTAAAGGCCTGTGTACCTGGGGCCTAAGAGTTATGAGATGAGGCTGGAGAGGCAGGGGGGCTGGACACATAGGCTTGATCAGGACATTAGTCTGTGTCCCATGGGAGGAGAACAGTGGTGGCACATGGTGACATGCTGAGATTAGCCATTGATAAGAATCACTCTTCAGGCTACCTTTAGGTAGGAGGAAGGTGTAGTGCCAGGGAGGAGTCCACAGATGCTGCTGGGACTGTTAATTTTCTAATTTTTGACCTGGGTGGGGATTACATAAGTGTGTACATTTTGTGACAATTCATCTGGTTGTATATTTATGGGTTTTTTCACCTTTTTTATCTGTATGTTACACTTAAAAATAGTTTTAAAAAACGAAAGAATCACTCTAGCAGCAAATAGACATTCTAGTTAGAAGGTTTAAACATTGTCCTGGAGAAAGATGATAATAGCTTGGAGCAAGGAGGTGGCAGGGGTGATGAGTGAAGCCAATGAGAAATGTATAGAAGAGAAACAGACAGGACTTGAGGATCCATTGCAAATAGGGGTTGACAGGGATGATGGCCCAGTGTCTGGCTGGTGCAACCTGATTGAATGAGATGCCACCCCTTGAGGAAAGGAGCTGTGGGCCAGGGTGGTTCAGCTTTTGGAAAACTGTTTCTGCTTTTGGAGAACAGTGCTGGTGAGGCCACTGGTAGAGCCAAGCTGGGTCATGTCAGATGTGGCTTGTGGCAGGTCGCTGCCTTGGGAGGCCCAGTGCTCACATGCTGCGAAAGCTCCTGCCCAGATAACAAGCCCCCAGTGGCTCATTTTGCACAGCAGTGGCAGAGGGTGCATGGCATTTCCTAATTGCAGCCTAACGCCTGCACCCAGCTGGCGCTCCCCACAAGAAGGTCTCCATCCTGGTCTCCATCAGCCACTGAAGTTTGGCAGCTGTCCTGGGCTTGGGAGGGGAATGGAGTGGAACTGAAGAACATGGCTTTATGGTCACAAGACTTCACTGCTCTGCTGTTCTCTGGGCTTTAGTTTCTGCTGTCAGTTTTCTGACTCTGCAAAGCTTCCTGTGGAAAATCTCAGCTCTTGGAGTTGCTCCTGCCCTCTCTGCATGCTTGTCTTTTGTCCGTTTTTATGCTTGTTAGAGACCCGTCATGAAGGGGAACTAGTCATGGAGAGCAGGCACTGGAACTCCCACCTACAGAATCGGCTTCTCTCTTACACCCCACCAGCTTGGGAACCCGTGGGTGGCATGGTTCATTCTTTGCCCCTAAAAACTTTTTTTCAGCTGCAGAAAAAATACATGTTTACTTCAAGAAGTTTGATTTGCACAGAAGTACATACTTAATTTAAGAAACTTGAGTAGAATATTTATTCAACGAATATGTGTTGAGTTCCTCCTGTATACTAGGCACAGGTCTGGATGCTTAAGATGTTATCAGCAAACCAAACAGACAAGGGCCCCTGCCTCCGCTTCCGTTTTTGCAGGGCATGGAGAGAGAGAAAATAAAAATCAACTTAATAAGAAAAGGACGTATACATGCTAGAAAGCATAAGTGATATGAAAAGAAAAAGAAGTAGATGAGGGTAAAAGGGACAGGGAATGCTGAGGGCCTGCGTGGGGGGTGTTGTGATCTTAGTAAGGTGGTCAGGAAAAAGGCTTGTCGAGAAGGTGACTAAACCTGAAGGTGATATTAACGCACAAAGGAAAGAATCCCTGTTTGTCCTGCCATCCATAGACAAGTCAGTTTATTGTTGCTTACAACAGAATACCCAAAACTGGGTAATTTTTAAAGAAACAAATTATTTCCTACAGTTTTGGAGGCTGGGAAGACCAAGGTCAAATGGACGCATCTGGTGAGGGCCGTCTTCCTGGTGGGGACTGTCTGCCCAGTCCTGACAGGGCACATGGAATCACATGGCGAGGGGTCAAGAGCCTGCGCACATGCTTCTTTCTCTCCTTATAAAGCCCCCAGCCTACTGCCTGATAACCTGTTATTCTGTTAACCCATTAATCCGTGAGCAGGGTCATCCGTTCCTGAGGGCAGAGCTCTCACAATCCAATCACCTCTTAAAGGCTCCACCTGTCAAATACC